TTTTTTTGTTTAAGAATTTTATTGAATGATGATGATAATGTGGTAAATAACAATTCTAATTGAAATATGACAAAGTTCTTATTTTGATGATAATGTGATAAACAGTAATCTTAATTAAGATAACGTGACAAAATCTTAATTAAAATAGGGTAAAGTTTATATTTTTAATTAGAAAAAAAAAATTAAGTTGTGCTCCAAAAAGGATTCCTTAACTTGTTTTTCTAAAGACACGGGTTATATGTATTTTTTTTATATTAATTATTATTAAAAAAATAAAAATTAATTTTTATTTAATTAAAATGATACCTATGATATTAACAATAAAATTAATGTTAATTTTCATCATTTTTAATATCAATTAACAACAAAAAAAAAACATATTAATTACACCTTTATATATGGACCCTTAGAAAAATTCATAAAATAAATAAATAAAATTTGTGCCCTTAAATTAAAAAAAAATAAAAATATGCTTAAAACCTCCGAAAAAAACATATGTTTAAATAAAAAAATGATAAAGTTTATATATTTTGGAAAATGATTTATAAATAACATTTTTTATCATCTTTTTATATAATTTTACATATCATTTAAATGATTAACTCTTTTTATTCATTTGAAATTTATAATATTAAATGTATCAATTCATTTAATAACATATGAAAGTTATATAAAAAATAATATAAAAAATTATTCCTACATCATTGCCATATATTTTTTACACAATTTTTTTTAAGTTTTTAGTATTAATTTCTTATATTTAAAAGTTATATTGGATTTCAACCAATTCAGAATTAAATTGCATTGGATCATATAAAGGAGAAAATTTTCTTAATATTTATTTTTTTTATTCATAAAATTTGAATTCAAAATTTCATTTAAAAGAAATCAAAATTTTTTTAATTAAAACAATAGGTTATTGGTAAGAAGAGATACAAGAATTATAAGGAGATCACCCATCTTATAATTTCTCTCATTCAAGCACGCTTAATTAAGTGATATACGTTTGATGACATGATGCGTTCGACTTGTTTGTAGCGGTCGGTCACACTTCCTCGTTCTGATGACGAATTGAATTTACTCTAAGGCCTGAACTCAATTATTATCAATAAAACATTTTAGGATCTTTCGTTGAGTAGTTGAATGGCGCTCTCTGCTCTAACA